CTGCCACTGTCAGCACGCCTCCAGAATTCAGCTCCTTTGTCTATCTTTGAACCAAGGTAGTACTGAGGTCAGGATCTAAGTGGCCTTGCCAGAACCCAAACCAAGTGTCCATAGGCAGAGTATTATTAAGTAAATAGTGTGTGAGTACACTTTTGATGACCCATTCCATCGCTTTCCTGATGATCAAAAGTAGACTGATGGATGTAATAATTGGCTGCGTTGTACCCGTCCTGCTTTTTGTGTCCAGGATAGACTTGAGCAATTCTCCATATTGTTGTGTAGATGCCAGTATTGTAGCTGTACTGGAAGAGCTTGGCTAGGGGTGCAACAAATTCTGGAGCACAGGTCTTCAATACAGTTGCTGGTATACTGTCGGGGGCCATAAACTTGAAAATGTAAAATAAAATTTGATTGAAGTGTAAAGGAAAAGGGACTCTAAAAGCACGCCAGTAGCAGTATCACTGGGCATTTATACACCCTGCTTCGTACGTGTTTACTTTTGTGCATTTTTGCAATGGTAGTTGTTTATTTCAGATCACAGCTGATCACTTTCTATGTATTCATTTGAACAGACAATTACGGCTGTGTCACAATATCCCACTAGTAGCATCACAGGTCCAGCTGAATTTTACGAAACTTGTACTGTTGCTTTAAGGCTACAAAGTATCGATGTTACAAATGAGGAAATTCTGAAGTCTGTTAAAAGTTAATTGCAGGTGGTGGTGGTTTGCATTTTGGTGCCTGCACACTTTTGACTCTGAGTTAAGGAAAATCAACGAAGCATGATTTTTATTTTCTCTCTTTATAACTCAGTCCTTACATTCGTAAACTTTTAGTGGAATTGTTCATGATGAACAGCCAATGTTCTGAGGACCTGGGTTCAAACCCCATCTGGCAGATGGTGGAATTTGAATTCAATAATAATCTGTAAATAAGAGTTTAATGATGACCATGAAATCATTACTGATTGTTGGAAAAACACATCTGGTTCACTAATGGTCTTCAGGGAAGGAAATCTGCCATCCTTATGTGGTTGGGCCTACATGTGGCTCCAGACACACCGCAATATTGTTGACTGTTAACTACCCTCTGGGCATATAGGGATGGGTAATAAAATGTTGGTCTGGCCGTGTGTGTGTGTGTGTGTGTGTGTGTGTGTGTGTTTGATAGCTTCATGTGGCACTGTGAACTGTAACTCAGGAATTAATCAAAACTTCTGGTGGAGGAAAGGGAGCAAAACTTAGTTTAGACTGTGGTGATTGTAATGAGGTTAGCCAGGAGGACTGCATACAATATGAGTTCCATGATTGGCACTGACAGATAAGACAGGAGTGTCAGACATTCTGTTCACTGTGAGAGCTGGCTGTGGGAAGCTGGATCAGTATCAAGCACTCTCCACATGTAAATAAAGGATGACTTGGTGACGGGATACTGGCCTTTGTGGAGTTATTTCAAAACAACTCTGGTTTCACATGTTATGAGTTTTTTGAATTTTTTTTAGAAAGGGTAAATGCTGCAATATGGGTTAAAGAAATCAGCAGTTTAACCTGGAAAAGCGTTTGTTAACAGAATGGAATCTCTGCAGCGGATGGCAGGTTAGTCTCCCAAACTATTTTAATGCTCCTCCTAGCAACTGTGTACATGTTGACGTATAATGGGTGGCATGGGGCATCTTGCATTTTCAGCCATCTCAGAAAATAAGAAACAAAAAAAGACACGTTAATTTTTATTAAAAAGCACAACTCAGAAATGTTATTTGTACTGTTGTAGAATGGCATTAATGGAATGCTAGGATTTGTAATTTGAGGGTAACATTCTACGTGGCACAAACATTAGTTTTACTTTTGTAAGTAGAGTGTGGTTATCTACTTTACATTTAAATTCTTGTGATTATTTCATCTGCATGTTGTTTGTTCAGAGAATTGAGCTGCTTCAGTTGTGGGAATAAACAGAATGACTTTTCTTACAGCCCAGGACAAATCACGTGTTTTCCATAGCCACGATATTTGCATACACTTACTTGTGTGAATGGGGACTGCTCAATAATGCCAAACACGCCAGCCTAAAATGTAAACCTGCTATGAATTATTGTAATCAAGCTGTGTTGTAATTCAGGACTGATGGCCGATTCTAAGTTTCAGCGTGTTGCATCCTGTAAATGCTGCTTGGGCAGTCCTTGCTGAGCTGATCTTCAGCAAAGCTTATTCTCTGCAGATTCTGCCATTTGTTTCCATGTTGTGCATTTGAGTATTCGGAACATCAGAGATGGGAATAATTCTGCTAACATATATGCCAAAACGCCATCCGATTCCGGAGATGATAATTTAACTGTTTCACTGGTTCTGATTGCACAATAGTATTGATCAGTGACTGCTATTCAGTTTCCTGGTAATGTTGCTTTTGTCCCTAATTTCAATTTACTCAGTTCTTTTGAGATTTTCATGGAATTGCTATAGTTTGTTGTAGAAACACAATGAAAATAATCAACACGTAACAGATACTGCAGCAAGTGGCATATGGAGTGTATTACATTCAAACCTTGGTGTTACTACTGACGAGGTTAAAATAAGAACAAAAGCTGGTAGATTTACAAAATAATATGCCATCATTATAATGTTGAGAGCATAAATCTTATCATCCTCCCCAAGTTAGTTACTATTCAGTTCAACAAATAGCAGCTTAGTGACCATAATTCCCACACCTTCTTTGTTCCCGTTTACCAGGAGGAATGCATTGTTCACTAGTTTGAAAATATAAACTTCCCAAAGACACAAATAATTTTTGTAATTCTGCAAAAAATCCCAGTGTTGATGAACAAGCGTAAAAGTCTGAGTATATGTAATTCTGATCTGTTACACGCTGGAATTGTACAGCCCCTGTATGAGAGAGGCACATATGTGGGTGTCCCTTTCAGGCAGAAGAAGCTGCTCAATTGTTGCAGTAATTACATCCCACAACGTTTCGGGCTGATCACCAACCAAAAAGCATCCTGATGCAAAAGGTCTCAGCCTGGCCCTCTCTTAAAGGGCCAGCTTGAGATGAGATAATTGTGAAGAACTTCTGCAATTGAGAAGTTTCTGAAAATACTTTGGAGTGTGTTTGAAGATGTTGTAGTGCATTCCTAGATTTGGAGCGTGCGTTACTTTATCCTCACAGTGGAGAGGATTGGGTAACCTGGCCACACAACAGTATTGAGGGCTGTGTTTGCAGCGCATCTGCATTTGCATGATGACAGGGGGACGGATCAGAAGCTGCAGGGGGAGCAAGCTCCGAGTGTTACCCTCTGTCAAGTTGCAGGGTCAGAAAATTGTTGTCAGGCCAGCCAATGGACCCAGCACCTTGGAAAGCATTGCCCAACAGGGTTATCCTATACACCACCTCGCCATCTACTAGGTCCTCTGCAGCAAGACCTCTGGTGAGCTGGAACAGGAATCATTCTTTTCCTTTGGCAGGGCTGCAGTCTACTGATGCCCAGTGACTCACCACTTGTATATCACAACTCTGTACCAGCCTGTCCAGGATGTGAAATTGCTGGTTGCTGCCCAATCAAGTGATGTAGTGTTATTCTGTCTTCTCTTGAGATTAAGCAGGTGACACTTCTTGGATGAGAACATCAGAAAAGGAAGGTTAGAGTGAGGGAAGGGATTTTGGTGGGAAGTGTGATCTTAGTAACTTGACCATCATGTCGGATGGCAAAATGAGGGTCAGCATGGAGTTAAGAACAAGTGTGAGGCAGGAACATGCTGTTGCCCTCATCATTCTCATCTTCCATTGCTGGCATGGGCTCTGTTGCAGCTGAACCTTTAATCAGAGAGCCATGTCTGTACAGCTGAACAGGAGATTGAAGCAGTTTTGTCTCCAAACATGTTTTCTCTGCTCACTTCTGTGTGTTTCATCTTGCTCTGCAAGAGAAATGAAAAAGTATGTCTATGATTATGATTAAATAATCTGCTTGTCACGGCTGAATGATTAGCAATACGTGGAGGCAGTGAGAGATGGTTCTGAGGATAGAGGTAGATGGATAGTTGACCGGAGTCCAGAGAGTCAGGTTCTGTGCTGGGCGATTAATGGGCTATGGTTCATTAGTGGTTGGTAGAGTGATATGTAGGACATGTCATGAAGATGTGTTCACTGTCTTGGCCACCCATGCACTTCATTAGATCTCCTGTGGCCTTGCTGCTAATCTTTGAGTCCAGATGCTGGGATTTGATCTCCCTGATTACGTAATGTCATGCCCCTTTGTGGGTGTTCCCTCTGGGCCTTCTAGCCCCAGTGGAACAATATCATCTATCCTTCTGTCTTCCTCTATCACTCAGGGTTCCTGTGTTGTATCTTGCTGTACACCATTTCTTTTTCTCCAGGGGTTCTCTGTGAAAGATTCCTGAGGGAAATTTTTGAGGGCAACTTTTCTTTCTCACTAAGTCCTTTATTAGAAGAAAATTGGCTGTTAACATTCTGTATGTATTTTTTAAGGGTTTTCTTCTTTAAAAGATTAAGATAGCACAAATACCAAAGACTGTTTGCTCACATTACTAAATCTTTGAACTTCAGATCCACCTATTTTAATTTGTGGTGAATGAATCTCTCAAATTCTGTTTCCAAGATGAGATCTCATTCAGTTTCTGCACCCTCTCTTCTGCGTACCTATGTCTCCAGCTAACACTTGGAGCCCTACTCCCTATTTGCTGCCTAGCTCTGTACTAGCTGAAGTGACATCTCCAGCTCATTCAATCATATACTCTTCCCTCCTGACCTTGCTATTCCTCCAGTAGCTGATTCTTTCTCTTGAGGAGCAGCAAGAGTGGGAATCAGGGGAATCCCTGATTGGAGGAGCTCAAGGGAAGGAACTAAGAAACCAGACTTTTTTTGTGATTGGCCAATATGATTTCATGGCAGAAGCTTACGAATCAACCTTTCTGTAGGAAGGAAGCAGAACTAAAAATGTGCAAGTGATATACATGTTAAGTTGTACTCATGTTGTTAATATCTTTTCAATCAAGGAGTACTGCGAGAGGGAAAATAAAGGTTGGCCAAGATGTCATCGATCGCTGCTTACTATGCAGGAAAAAATGTGCTCATCACAGGAGCCACTGGCTTCATGGGCAAAGTACTTGTGGAGAAACTGCTGCGGTCCTGCCCTGATGTGAAAGCCATCTACATATTGGTGAGGCCTAAAGCTGGACAATCGATGCAGGCAAGAGTCACAGATATGATGAAATGCAAGGTACAGTAATATAAAAGCCCCTTGGAAAAATACAGCTTGTCTGTAATTTCTGACAATTCATTCTGTTTCTGGGTCAATGTAACATTTTACCAGGATTGTCAACACAAACAGGCGAGGATGCTAAATATGACAGTTTTTATTTCATTTATTCATGTGATGTGGGTGTTGCTGGCTGAACCAGCATTTACTGCCCATCTCCAATTTCCTTTGAGAAGGTAGTGGTGAGCTGTCTTCTTGAACTGCTGTAGTCCATATGCTGGTTCACTCACACTGCTGTTTAGGAGGCAAGTTCCAGGATTGTTCTAGCAACACTGAAGGAATGGCGATAATATTTCCTAGTCAGGATGATGTGTAGCTCGGAGGAGAACTTTAAAGTGTTGGTGTTCCCTTGTATCTTCTGTTCTTGTCCTTCCAGGTAATAGAGGTTGTGGGTTTGGAAGATACTGTTGAAAGAGCTTTGGAGTTTACTGCAGGACCTTTGTAAATGGCACACTGCTGCCATTGTGCATCAATGTTGGACAATGTGAATGTTGAAGATGGTAGATGGAGTGTAAGTCAGGTGGGCTGCTTTATCATGGAAGGTGTCAAGCTCCTTGGGTCTCGTCCAGTGGAGAATAATCACACTCCTCACTTGTGGACATGTTTTGAGGAGTCAGGAAGTAAGTTACTCAGTGCAGGATTCCTAGACATTGACCTACATCCATACTTCATCGATGCTCTTCCCTCCTTTATAAGGTGGGAATATTTGATGTTAATTGTACAATGTTTATTACTCTTTACAACTCGCAGGATACTGAATATGTCCATGCCACTATGTGGCAGGACCTGGACAACATTCAAGATTGAAATAAGTGGCAATGAACATTCATCCCACAAGTGCCAGCCTATGACACATTCCAACAGGAGAGAATCAAACATTGATTATTACCTTCATATTCAATGGTATTACCATCACTGAATTCCCCAGTGTCAACATCCTGGGGCTTACCATTAGAAGAAGCTGAAATGGATAATTCATACAGATACTAAAGCTACAACAACAGGTCAGAGGCTGGGAATTCTGTGGTAACTCATCTCTTGACTCCCCAAACCTGTCTAATATCGACTAAGCTCAAGCCAGGACTGTATGAATACTTTCCACATACCTGGATGAGTGTAACTCCACCAACACTCAAGAAAGTTGAACCAATCAGGAGAAAGCAGCCCACTTGATTGGCACCATATCCACCACCTTCAACATTCACTGTTGCCCTCACTGATATGTAGTAGCAGCATGTATACTTTATAGAAGGTGCACTGCAGGAACTCAACATGGCACCTTTAACAGCATCTTCCAGACTCTCAAAATCTCCCACCTTGAAGAATAACAGCAACAGTTGCATGGATATACCACCAGCAGCATTTGTAAGTTCCCCTCCAAGCTACATTCTACATTGATGTGGGTCTATATTACTGTTCCTTCACTGTTATGAGAGTCAAACAATGGAACCTGTTTCCAAGTAGCATGCTGTGTCTACCTGCATCAGATGGGTTGCAATTGTTCAAGGATGTAGTTCATCACCACCTTGGTAAGAGCAATTGGGATGGGCAACAATAATTTCAGGCCTACGTAGCGGTGCCTATATCCCATGAAAGAAATAAAAAAAAACTGTCAACATCTCCTCTGTCAAACCCTTCAAAATCCAATACGTTTCAATAAGATAACTTCTCATTCTTCCACACTCATGTGAGTACAGGCCCAACCTTTTATCTCATTCAGTCAAGGGATGGTATTTGCCATGGAGAGAAACTTGTTCCCATGTATCTTCTGCCCTTGTCCTCCTTAGTTATTGTGTTAGTGGGTTTAGAGTGTGCTAAGGACCCTTTACAGATCTCTGCTCAACCAATCCTTTCCGTTTCATTCTGCAAATCAACCCAGTGAAACTACTCTTAACTGCCTCCAGGTGTGGTCTCGCCAGTCCCCCGTGTAGTTATAAAAAGACTTCCCAATTTTATACCCTATTCCCTTGTAGTAAAGGCCAACATTCCATTTTCCTTCCTAATTACTTGCAGTATTGACACACTTTGTTTTTGTGATTCATGTATGAGGCCATCCAGAGCCCTCTGGATCACAGCACTCCGCAGTCTCTCTGTTTGAACAAACTCAGAGGGAACAAACTCACACTTTCTCACATCTGTCAAATGTTTCCCAACATGTATTTGTATACACATTTCCCTTTGCAGACTTTCTGTGTCCACCTTACAACTTGCTTTCCCACTTATTGTTTGATGCCAAGACAAAAATGTAACATTATTCAAGTCATTATTGTAGTGTGTAATTAGTTGAGGCCTCAGCAATGGCCCCTATGCTACCCCACTGGTTATATTTCTCTGAAAATAACCCACTTATCCCAGCAGTTTGCCAAACCGCTATTCATGCTATAACATTCCCACCAACACCACGAATTTTTACTTTGGTGAAATAACTGCACAGAGCCTGATATCCTGTCACCACATCACTCTTTATTTACTTGTGCACAGTACACTGGTTGTGACCAGCGACCAGCCAGCTCAGAGTTAGTCCCCTGAACTGAGGAGTTTCTAATCTCCTGGTTATATTGGTCAGCCAGGGTTTTCCTGATTGGCCCAGGTTAAAAACCCCAATCAAGGATCTCTTGGTCGGAAAGATCCAGCTAGGTCCAATCACGATATCCCTCCCCCATTAAGTCTGGGGATGTAGACCTTGTCTTTCTCTTCTAGATTTTTTTGCGGCATTTTCGCCCTAAGTCCACTTGAAAGCCCTAAGTCCGGTTCCTGTGACTCAGACTCTGACACGGGCAGCGAGTACTCGACTGTAGCCCGTCTCTTGTGTCTGGAGCATCTCAGGAAAGATTCCTCCTCTTATTCCGGTGGTAACTGTATTGAGGCTTCATCCATCTTGGACTTTGAGGTTTCCTTGACAGGAGACAGAGGGGGAGAACCTACAGTTTCTGCCAGGCCTTCTGGCTGTTCTGAGGGGCTAGGTATGTTTTGCTCCTGCCCCATTTGCGACGTAACAGCTTTCAAGTGGTCCACATGTTTGTTCAGGACTGCCTCACCTACCTGAACTTAGTAAATCATGGGACCTGACCTCGCATCAGCCTCGCCTTATACCCATACAGGGCCATTTCTGTGGTTCCAGCACCAAACTTAATCCTCTGAATTAAATTGTCTGTCTCTCTTAGAGGAGGCATGTGGCTGGCATTGGCGTTCCTACTGCAGTTTCACCGTCACCCCTCAAGTCTGGAAATATCAGGTTTAACTTGGTGCGTAGTTTTCACTGTTTTTGCATGTGGGGTGGTCCTACAATCGAACAGGAACCAGGACAGTTTGGTATCAAGTGACGCTGTCGGCTGCTTCTTTAAGGCTGCCATTGGACGATGGATGGTATGGAGCTGTCCTTATGTGCCGAACGCCATTTGACTTTATGAAATATTCAAATTCCCTGCTGGTAAATGAAGTCCAGTTGTCCATGACCAATACTTCTGTGAGTTTGTGTATTGCGAACAATGCTCACAACTTCTCAACTGCCATCCCCGAGTTTGCTGAACAAAGTTTGTGCACTTTGAATGGGCATCCACAATAACCAGGAACATTGAACCCATGAAAGGACTCGCATAGTTGACATGCAACTGAGTCCAGGGTTTTCCTGGCCATTCCCATGAATGTGGGGGATCTGCTGGTGTCAGTTTTTGTCCTTGTTGGCAGTCTAGGCACTGCCCCACCAACACAGCTATGTCGGCATCCAAACCTAGCCGCCAGATGTAGCTTCTTGCTAGCATCTTCATCTTGGAACCCCCTGGATGACCCTGGTGAAGTTCAGCCAGTATCTGATGGTGACCTTTAGTTGGGACAATCACCCTTGCTCCCCACAGTGATATGCCATCAACTACGGTGATTTGGTCTCACTGGGTCCAGAAATGTTTCAGTCCTGGTTGTGATGGCTCTTCTGTTTCCCCCATTACCACCAGCTGTTTTAGTTTTGCTAGGAAAGGATCTTTTTGTGTCCACAGTCAGATATTGTCAGCAGTGACTGGAAGGGTGTGCAGGAAGTTTAAAACTAAAATGGACTCTTCCAGGGGAGGCACCACTGGTGGAGTATCTGCCAGTGGGAGGCTGCTCAAGGTATCCGCATTAACCACTTGGCTTGCTGGATGGTCTTTCCCAAGCTCAGTTGGACAGGTGAGGGAATCCACTTCCATTGGGCTGCCCTATAAGCTCCCATGCTCCACTTGCCACATTTTCTAATGACAGTTGTAGTGCCTGTTTGAAGTCCAGTTGGGCTTCAGCTAGTCGGCACTTCTGCATGGTTGCGTCATTAATCCAACATACCAAACAGTCTCTCGGCATCTTAATTAGGGTTAACCCAAAAATCACATATCTCTGCCAGTCGTCTCAACCTCACCAAAAATCCCAATGCAGATTCCCCTGGCTGTCTAACAGCTGAATAAAAGCGATAGCATCTCTGAACTTAGAGGAGGTTTGGAGTTGTAATATTCCTTAACCAACTCTGTCAAACCTTGGAAGGTTTTAATGTATGGTACCTCTGGGAAAGTTGAGTCCCTTGTAACTGTAAATGCTCCGGGTCCATGAGCAGTCAGAAGGATTACTCGCTGCTTTTCATCTGTCCCAATGTCATTTGCCTGGGAAAAAATTTTGCATTCTTTCTGCATAGTGGGCCCAGTCTTCGAAAGCAGCATCACGAGTCAAGCTTCCCAAGTAAAGGCATGATTCCAGAAATGCTTACCCCAACTCCAAGATGACTGTAGCAAGCACATATTCTTCAGGCACATACTATCTCACTCTTGTTGCCACTGAAATAACTGCAGACACTGGCATCTCATCACCACATCACCCTTTATTTACATGTGCACAATACACTGGATGTGGCCAGCCAGCTCAGAGTCAGTCCCCTGAACTGCGCAGATTCTAAACCTCCTGGTTATATATTTTTTCTTCTTCTTTTTTTCTTTTTTTTTTCA